AATGGTTTGAAATATTGATTTGGTCGTGAAATTGCAATTTAAATTGCATTTTTGGTTGCAAACTGCAAAATTAACGTTAAATCTTGACAGGCCTTATCCTTATTTCATGGAACATAGAATTTTACGATCAACTTTGAAAATAGCCCTAATCAGTTAGATATCCAGTAACAAAAATATTGCTTTCAAACAATGCATTACATAAATAAATAGGTAGGTACCTACTTAGATTTTTATTCGAAAAAGTTGCATATCTACAGATTTTTTTATAAAACTTGGGAACGTAGCAGTGATTATAATATCGATATGAAATCGAATGCCACGTTGTCTACAGGCAGTCTTGCCTAGTTACACTGGCCTACAGTGTACTTAAATCTTTAAAATGTAGGTCAAATTGATGAAATTATTATGACGGTAGTACTTAGTTAAGTTAAGCTAGTTACTAGCTAAGGATGTAATAGATCCTTTTTTTCCACAACGAGGAAGCTCTTGGCCTGTATCTCACCTGATGGTAAGTGACGATCAGGCCGAAGGTGGAAGCGAGCTTAACCCGAATCCTCAACCAGGGAGGAACTGGCTATCTTACCTCTAACTTTGTTGTTATGGCGACAGACTTAGGTAAGATGGTGGTAGCTAGCCAGGCGGACTTAGAACAAGCCCTACCACCAACCAAACCGAACAGAAAAATCTGCCCCCACTGGGAATCGAACCCGGGACCTCTGCGTCTGAAACAGGTGGTCTTACCAGTAGACCACAGAGGCGGTTACTAGCTAAAGATGTAATAGATCCTTATTTTCAAACAAGGATAAGGCAAAATTCACTCCTGCGGTGACTGTGGACGTAAAGTGTATACGAGGCTTAACAACGGGAGATTTAATATCTACATAATAACAAGCCTCGTGAAATATCGCTCAAAGGATCCCGCGATATTGCGTTTTATATCCGCACGACTAAAGCTGAAGGTATATCTTAAATATAAACATAGCTACAAGATAAGATGATAAAGCTTTTGATAAGAAACATCACAGGAACTACAACAACGTTTATATTGTTTATTTATATCAGTTGCTTGCCACTTTAACCACGTTGGTTCTCTTGCAAGACAAATATTATTCTAATATCGTTAAACTCCCATGATAAGCATAAATCGTGTCGTAGTAGGATAGAGGATAATAACGCATATTTTGTGGCATTGTGTAAAGCAATCGTAATCATTTGACAGTTCATAACGTACGATAAAGTCAGTTAAACAAAGCGTTTGACAAAATAATCGTACGTTATGAACTGTTCATTAGATATCTATCTAATAAAGAGTTTTTTCACTTGTCCTATTTGGATTTTGTATTATGCTTATTTGAAGGGCAACCACGCGTATCATTATCTAAATATTAGTTATATTTAGACCATTCATCAATTATCATGATTGAATAGATCAATTTATATCTTCTTCTGTGCCCTTTACAATTTCATTTGGGGTAGGCCCTCTTCATTCTAAAAGGGATCAGAGGTGTTGTGTAAAGCAATCGTAATCATTTGACAGTTCATAACGTACGATATAGTCAGTTAAACAAAGCGTTTGACAGAATAATCGTACGTTATGAACTGTCAAAATTAAATGATAACGATTGCTTAACACAATTCCACCTCAGATGGAGTAAAATAAACGGTTATGGTGCATCAATGATATTTTTATGGAAGGAATGACAGTACTATTTATGACATTGTCACTGATAGTATCTGGTGACTTTAAGGAGAATAGATCAATAAGTATACTTAATAATAAGTGAATCACAAAATTTTACAACGCAGTCACATTATCAAAGCCCATTTATTCATAAACAATGCTTGCTTAAGTGAAGCAGCAAATCGAACACATAGTGTTCAATAGAGCTCTGTGATTAGTTCTTGTGTCACCCTGTGCGTCCACGCGCACTGTGAGACCTCATAGTAATGTTTGTGAATACGGGCGTCAGTCTATATCCACAACAGTTTTAATAACTTTACCTACTCCAAAAGCTAAGCAAATTAAAATCCTAATAACAGGTCATTAGTTTCACTTTCGTGAACTCGAAACATGTTATTTTTATACTGAACTGCTTGTAAGGGCAGATGTTCAGTTCATGTCGTCACTTGGCGTAAATACCTATTAAATCTGCCTCTGGGATAACAGATGATTACACTGGTCAAGGGTGAGCTGGGCGTTGAAGATGAATTCCGTAGATATTGATAACAAATCTAAGATTAAACTGTCATTGGAAGACATTATAATAAATTTTCAGGACGAAATAGGAAAATATTTTTGTTTCAAATGAATTGGTGTTTTAAATAAATCTTTAAAAAGTTGCAAAAATGCTGCCTTAACGGGAGCTTTTTTTTTTCAAGATAAACTATATTTAAAAACTTGTGTTTTTAACTTATTTTAACGAAAACAATAATTCTAAGACTGGGCGCAGACCACCGATTTTTAGTTGACCGATAGTTGTGCCCGATTTTAAATTGTATGAAGAATCGGCCCATACTGAGCAACTGCCCGACTAAACTATCGGCCGACGAAAAATCGATGGTCTGCGCCTAGGTTAAAACGTAAGTTTTGAAACGAATAATTACGTAATTTTAAAGAAGTTTGTTATTAATTAACTCATCAATGAGATCCCGGTTTGGTTGTTCGCGTGCCGGGCTAAAACACCAGCTGTTGTCGCGGCTTTGGTTCCCAATGGGGGCAAGTGATAATGAGATGCACATTTATACCATTTATACTGATAATCACGAATGTTAGTGAATTAAAATGTTTGTGTCGTTATCTAGTAGGTACAGTCGATAGCACATCAATATAACACAGAATGGAGTTTCCTCGATTGATTGGAACCTTTTCATAACAGATAAGCACAAAATGATGCTTCGTCGATTCAATTGAACCTTATCATGAAAGATAAAAAGTTCAAAATACATTGAGGAAATTGACCATTTGGTAGTAAGTTGTTGTGTTTTGTCTGTGTACAAGTTTGTTTAGGTCAAAGTTACTTATTCAACGTAGTAGTTTGGAAAAAAATACTTGTATATCATTTTAAATAGCAGGAGCTCAAATCTGCTTTTGTATAAAAAGAAATTACGAGTTTTAATTTAAGCTTTTCATGTTGTCTGTTACGTAGGTACTTTAATTTTGCTTACATTTTTTTTATTTTTCAATGCAAATGAAATACAGGGTGTTTGGCGCATCGTGTGCCAAAATGATTTGGCGGATAGAATGGGTCATTTCCTATATTTTCAGCCCCCATAACACGTTCCATGTCAGGCGGCTACTTTTATATTAAGTTTTTTAGTAATTTCACCAAAATACCCAAATCGCATCATTTAATTTCGATTTAAAAAAAAACTACTAAGCGTAGCCTCAAAGTAAATATTTTGTTTTGACGTGCATTGATATAGGGTTGCATCAAATCTAAATTTACTGGCAAATATCATCTAGTTTTTTTTTAATTCAGCTTTGAACTTTTCCGAAAAGTTAAAAATGGACTGAACATTTAAGTTTACATGGCTATAAATTTTTACCTGTAGGTATTTAACGTGTTATTCACACAAAAAGGGGCTATAAACACAAATTTCGCAAATCAGTCCGAATAGAGTCAATGCACTAATTTAGGGAATTTGTGAAGTTGTTGTTATTATTTAAACAAGATTAGTATACCGTTTGAATGGGGATAGACTAGAGAAGTTTTGATAAAATCCGAAGATCGCTATCTCTTTTAAAAAAAAAATTATAGCCATGTAAACTTAAATGTTCTGTCCATTTTTAACTTTTCGGAAAAGTTCAAAGCTGAATTAAAAAAAAACTAGATGATATTTGCCAGTAAATTTAGATTTGATGCAACCCTATATCAATGCACGTCAAAACAAAATATTTACTTTGAGGCTACGCTTAGTAGTTTTTTTTAAATCGAAATTAAATGATGCGTTTTGGGTATTTTGGTGAAATTACTAAAAAACTTAATATAAAAGTAGCCGCCTGACATGGAACGTGTTATGGGGGCTGAAAATATAGGAAATGACCCATTCTATCCGCCAAATCATTTTGGCACACGATGCGCCAAACACCCTGTATATCTTCAGAAAATATGAATTCATGATTTTAACGTACCTAACTACTTAATACTTTGCATGAGAGTCATCAATACAATCATTAAGAGCCCTCAAATTATGTGGAAGTCCTTTCGAATACATTTGAACCGATTTGGCAAAGAATTCATAAAATGGATAATTTCTATTATTGTAACAGGAACAACCAAATCGCCATGATTGTTAACATTGTCACATTATTTTTTGTGTGACAGGTCAGTGTCATTAATAAAGTTAACGTAAATAGGTTAAATACACCCAAAAGTGGAAATAATAGTGGTTAGTTGATAATGGCGCTCATCCGTCAACTATTAATAATAAATTAAGCCCATTCAACCGATAAAACTAATAATAACGCGACGATTATTATTACATTACATGCACTGTGTTAAAACAATTGTGTAAATTAAACGATATTAATACAATAATGACAACAAAAAGGTTAATTAATCCAAATAACAGTAACTTAAGATATGGGATTGATAAACATAATTACAATGACATAAATGTAATAAAAATGATGTTAAAATAAAATTAGAAATAAAAATAACAAAGCACAGCAAATAAGGGAACAAAACTGCACGTATTGATCGAAAGAGAGACTGACAAATTTGAGACTTGACAAATGGAAATGAAAATTTACGTCCATGGGGGGAAAGTATAACACAAAATGGGTGTAACACCTCGAATACCGACTAAATATGAAATAAAAACTAGACTTGCGCCTCCATTCGCATTGAAACTGAAAACCACATTATCCGTGATACGCCCGTGTCGTTCCCTTCACGCAATATACGGGCTCCAATAAAAAGCACCATAATTGTAAATTCACTAGACACACTTCACGATGACGTCACCCGCGTTTTCTTTTTAAAATTAAAGGTACTCACGCCGCGATGCTCTTAGATAGTGGCCAGCGCTCCATGGAAGCCTGGTACTTCATGTTTTCGATCTGCTTTTTCAATGCCTCTTTGTCCATGGCTGCGAGAATACTGGGGTCCATCGCGCAGAATCTGTGGTATAAAACACGCACACATGGTTAGTGGTGTATGGATAGTGTGGCGGGTGAGTCGGTGTGGGTCGCTGCGCGGAGTACAGTTGGGAGGAAAAAGGAACGCGCGGTTTGGGATTGGGGGAAAGCGTTGTAAGAAATGAGAAGGACTAAGGGAATTTATGTTGAAGATTTAGAAGGTAAAATCGTTTTTAATCTGATTAATTAACATTCATATTCATGGTCTGTTATTTAAAATGACAGTAAAAGATTTTTTTTACAAAAAAAATTTTGATGTTTTTACTTTTTGAATGTATCAGAAAATTACAGCTATTTAAACTTCTCATTAAAAAATTTCATACGTGAAACCTAAATTAGAGTACATGTTTTTCTTCAAAATTATGTTAATGAGTTTCCTATTATTATCAATCTCACACTGTTCGAACTAAATAAAATTATAACCGTGAATTAAAAATAAAGAAAATCATATTTTTTCTTCAGGAAAATTCACATAAATTAAACAACGCTTTTATTCCTGATTGTCCACTATTCCCGTCTCCCTCCCACACCAAGGGGAGACTGCTCCAGCGTGTGTGTTAGATTTGCATAAGTGTGCGTGATGCGCGCGCAGTATTTTACAGTTTCTATGACAACCCCTTTAGGAACACACAAGCTAGCTTGCGCAAAGTTGGTTAAACTGGCGCTTTACCATTTTGAGCTTTATCTCTAATATTTTAAGGATGCGTATTGGTTTTCCGATATCGCTTAAAATTAATGAATTAAGGCGTAATGGCCGGTAGTTCTCCACGCTTTGCATTACATTATTCTTTGTTTTCCCGCTTCTTCGTATGGAGGGCGGTGTTCGCCGTTTGAATTCATGACGCAAATTAAGGCCTGTCAAAAAATTAACGCTTGTCGTGTCAATTAGACTGCGCTTGACAGATCTGAGAATACGGCCCCTGGTTGCTTGTCAGGTGAATTGTCTTGCCTTTATCTTTTCGTTAGCCATTTGGGTAGGGAGGGGGATGGTGAATGGGTCCTTAAATTCTAAATTTGACTTAATGACACTTGTTGCACTTTGACCGCTAAGTAAAATTATAATTAGGGTAAGGTTGCCACTATTGGACCACTTAACTTTAAAATGACATAACAGCGGAATTGTGATAGATAGGAGCAACATGATTCAACATTTTAATAAGCCTTACATATAAGAACTTGCATGTGTCATTTGTGATTTTTAGCATTAACCCACTTGTTACGGAATTCACTTTTTCTATCACTTAGTTACCTTAAATCAGTCATGATAAATTTATCTCAAAACAATTGCTCCAAAACTTTATAGTTATTTACGTCAGTGTACTTATAAGACTTGGACAGTACTGCGACACACCTCATCTTTCAAATGTTGCACATAAAAATTGTTTACACTACCCACATTAGTAAAAATATTTATGTAAAAACTAGCGTTCTTTTAAAAGAACGCTAGTAACAAGTGGGTTAACCATAAACAGAGAAAATAGAAAAAAACTGTTTTGCCATGGTTGCTTTCTTTGGACCACTGTTTCTTTAATTGGACCAGTGAGTTGCTATCATTGGACTTAGAAAAATTTGTGCAGTGGTCCATTCAACGGTACCATGAGAATTCAAACAAATAAAAGACAATAATAATATAATAATCAATTTTATTATTCTACAATTAGTCAACGCTTTATAAAGCTATTTTGTAAGTAAGCTTCTGACATCTTTTGGCGTGATTCCGTATAAACAGCTTTCCAACTCCAAAATATGATCGACTAACTTTTTCTCTAAGTCAGGAGTAAGGTCACCTATCGAACCAATTATTTGTTTTGCACCTTTTGCTCTTAAATTTTTGTCGTCCAGCCTTCTTTTTTGCGTCGCTTTTGGTACACCATAATTATATCCTACTTGCCTCATTCAGTCCAACTTCTTGTTTACTTAAAGCTTGTAGTGCCAATGTCATGCTTTCTTCGTTCCACGCATAGTATTCCCCTCGTTTTGCCATGCTAAAATAAAAAAAAAAACATTTCAATTTCTATTTTAAAAGTTGCTATGATTGGACTGGTCCAATTAAAGAGAAACTTACTGGTCCATTGATAGCAATTCATAGTCCAATGACAAAAAGGTTAATACATAAAAATCTGTGAAATATTGCAAAAAACAGTTACAAATCTACTTGAACAACTAAATAAGGCGTGCGATTCACAATAAATAACATTAAAAACATTTAATAAACTGTACTTACCTGGTAAACTGTGTCACGAGAAAATTACATCGGGAGCGCGCGAAACACTGCAGCAAACATCCTTCCTCAACGGAGCTCACGGCGACACTGGTGGGATCGGGGGTTGGTATTAGCTCAAATAGCTAACGTTTCGTGCAAACGGTTGATTTTTAAAGTACTTAGGTTCCGAGAAATCATAGTGGTCCAAAGAAAGAGCCGGTCCATTGATCGCAACCTTACCCTAATCCTGCTTTTCTTTTTGGGCTGGCTGGTTACAAGCGATCCTTAATTAAAAAAAGTTAACTGAAGATAAAAGGTTATTTGTTATTTAGGTATGACTGAACTAGCTGACCTGGCGAACTTCGTACCGCATATATTCATCAGAAATAATGTAGGATTTTAATGGTGAAAGATTTCTGACTGTCCAGTGAGCCTAGTGTGAGTTTACATCAAACGCGCTCACTAGTGAGTGCGTCAAAATATGACATTAAAAATGTATGACGGATTGCACAGCGCCCCTAGCGGGAAACGTTCAAAAAATAAAAATTTCATACATTTTTAAACTCGCACTCAGCCCACTGTAGTTTCGGATCCTCCTACTACAAATAATAATTAAATCTTTCCTCTTTAAAATATTAGTGATGATGATGACTGAATAAAAAACCCATTACAGCAGTTAAAGTATTCATGACCCTAGGTCAAATAATGGAATAAATTTCCTTTTTATGTGGATTATTCACAAAACCTATGGAGACTCATATTTCTTCTAGACTAGACAGTGCAAAACCAGTAAATTCTGAGTTTGTCATGGTTAAAATATACGAACGTGTAATGTGGTAAGCATAAAAACAAAAACACGAATAAAAGTCATCACTTTTTCTTAGGAGTGGATTACAAAGTACACTAGCTAAACCACTTAAAAAACACTAAACGAATTTTGATTAGACTCCAACAGTCATAACTTTGCGAGTGTATTTTGGAAGCTATTGCCTTGAAATTGTTTCTATTTTTAGACTAGCGTGTACAATGTTTTGTTTCTATTATTTATGGCTTTAAAATAAGAAATAACTTTTTGACAGCATAAACAATAGAATCTACGTGAATAAAAAATAAGCAAAAAATTTTTGTATGTGAATAAAAAAAAATATTGATAATTTGAACGAAGCGCTATAAATTTTTAGAATGATCTTTTTAACCAACATACGAGTAATATTCATGCGTACTAAGTCGCGGCCATAGCTAGTTAAAATAAATTTAGGTACCTAAGTATTGATACTAGGTACCTATGTGCCCTGCCCTTTTAGTTCAGTAAAATAATGATGATGAGGATGAAGTATTCAGTGCACTTTTCTCGATCCCAAAATAATTAATTACCAACTGTTTTCAGAAATATCTGTGAACAATTTTTAGTATACGGTTGAAACACACATTCAATCCCAAGTTTTAGTTTTCATCTAAATAATGCAATTGAGCTCCGAATCCCGAAAGGCCAGGAAATGAAGAAAGTTCCCTTCGTTTAGGTCTGGAGGGAAAAATAAAATAAAGTTTCGGACATTTTAAGGTTACAAACTAGAATTTTTACTGGTACAGTTCGTTCCTAATTTGTGCAATAGGTTTTAAGATTTTGTACACAAATAGCTAAATGAAACGTACAAAAATGCGGTTACACCAAAAGCTACCGACAAAATTTTGAAGGCATTCGGACGTTTTGATGATTTTATTTTTTTAGTTAAAATTGAAGTTTAGTTTTGCCATATGCGTAAGCTATTTTTTTGAGTATCAATTTACAAATCCAATTTAAAAGATTACGACAAACTTGTACCAGTTGCCTGTAAAGGTTCGATGAAACCAACGCGTGAACTGCAATCGCAACCGCAACGCGATCAGCAAATCAGTAGGATCGCCATCGCCATCGCGCACGCGGTCTGCACGCGTTGGTTTGGTCGAACCTTTAGAAAGAAAGTAACATTTATTACGATGAACATCACTTAGTTAAGGAAAGAGAATGTATACGGAAAAACAGAAATCCCAACTAATAATATTCTAAATGCGAAAGTAACTCTGTCTGTCTGTCTGTCTGTCTGTCTGTCTGTCTGTCTGTCTGTCTGTTACGCTTTCCCGCTTAAACCTCGCAACCGATTTTGATGAAATTTGGCATAGAGATAGTTTGAGTCCCGGGAAAGAACATAGGATAGTTTTTATCCCGGTTTTTGAAACAGGGACGCGCGCGATAAAGTTTTTCTGTGACAGACAAAATTCCACGCGGGCGAAGCCGCGGGCGGAAAGCTAGTAGCACATAAATATGACAAGGAAATAAAAAGTGAACTGAGCAGTGCTATCCTGTCGCAACAGCGATGCCCATCGCAATGGGACTCCACTCAGCAATCAGCATATGCCGTGGCCCACGGTGGGGAAGGCCACGACGCTGGTTTTCAGTGATCCTATTGCCTACAAATATCTTATTAGGTACCATATTAAATTGTAATTTCCCACTGATATTAATCCAATCATTTAAATCTAAACCCGGATCCGAAGGTAAGCTTTTCACGCTTTTGTTATCGCTAAATAGTTCCATTGTTCTTGGGAATCAGTGTTCTTGGCTCATTGTACTTTTTAATTAATTATTTTCTCAAGGCCCCTTTGTTGGTTTTAGAGTTCTGTTAGGTGATAACGGCACTTTGGGTCTTTTGAAGAAGATAATCGTGAGATAGTGGAACTAATATCAAACTTAAATACATAATAATACAGGCTGGAAACACAGACTGGCTCGTGGAACCCTAAGCGGTCGCATGAGACCGCGGTAACATTGTGTCTCGATCCGCTGGTACTTAAAGGGCTAGCACGCAAGTCCTATGAAGTATGAAATATGATTATCATAAAATATGAAATAGGATCATTGTTAAAATTGATAAAATTTTATTTATTGATTGATTCTGTTTTGTCAAAGAAGTGGAGAGAATATTTTTTTTGTTTCTGTCCAGCAGTGAGCGCAGATGGCATTAGAGTTGAAGCAAAAAGGTTTTTCTAGTCAGAAAAATAATTATTAAACACCCTGTATATCAAACCTCATAAAATCACCGTGACTTGTTGATATGCAGTAATTATCAGCGGCAAAAGTTGGTCCTCAATTAAAGAGAGGTCAGAGAAAAGTTTTAATTGGCTTAATATGCAGCAGACAAATTGCTTTTGCCGCTTCTTGGCTCCGCGCTACCGTGCGACTTTTGATTAACTACGCTTGTGTTTAGGATTAGCTTAATTCTAGATTATTTTGTCGGTTATCTGAATTGATCAAACAGGTTTTTTTTGTTGCTGGGAGTTTTTGGTTTATGTCTGAAGGGTGAGTAGGTTTGGTTTATGTCTAATAATACTGTGTGTAATTGTTAAATTATTTTCCTCAGTAGGTAGTTTGATTTGGTCAATCTGTTGGTCTTGGATGCAAACCATGATCTATGATCAGTAATTTTTCTCATATTTCACCTAAACGATCAGTATTATTTCTCGTATTTAGGTATAGCCCAGTGGTCAAAGTGGATTGAAACTAGCGACGTTTTTGAATTGACAGTTAGAAGTAAAATAAATCTTTATGACATTGTTTTACACCATTAGCTCAGTAGTTTTTTTTTTATAAAAACATATTTAGAAATGACGGCCTGTATAACATTTTCACTTGGTAAGGCACGTGCCTCTTATTTATTTGTACATTAAAATACCTATTAACGACAATAAATTACCTAAACTCCAAAATAATTCGGAATTTCCAAACAATTTCCATTAAAACCGAACAGGGCAAAAAGGCTTAAGCCTTCCGGACAAAACCTCACCTGTCAGACTCAAATGTAAGTAGATAAGTACGCTTACCTTAATTGCTTTCTTATGGACTCGAATGTTGTTTAGCTTTTAAGCTAGGTGGGCCTGAAAAAAAGAGATTATTTTTAAAATGTATTTAAACATTTTGAGTTAATTTTTGGATAACACAAAAAACAAAAAAAAAAGTATTTAAGTATGTTTATATCCGTTGTCTAGTACAAGCCATAGTACAAGCTTTGCTTAGTTTGGGACTAGAAGCGTAGTGTAAAATGTCCAAGGATGCTTATTATTTATTTTACTATTCGATACTAGAATAAATTTTCCATTTCTTGAACAGAAAAACAATGAATTAACGAGATATAAACGTATAGGCTGGGTTGCACCATCTTACTTTAACTTTGACAAAAGTAAAAAATCTGTCAAACTCCATACAAAAAACACCGGTTGTCGTTAAACTTACTATCAAAGTTAGGTGGTGCAACTTAGCCTTAGTTTTTTTACGTTCAGGTAATAATAATATGTCCATGAAGTTGTTAGTGTAATAATTTAAAATCATCAGTTCGTTTATACACCCCTGCAGTAAGTACCTAGCATGGCCCCTTTCATTTACTAGGCCAGTGAAAGAATTAAACAAAAAACGTTTATTTCTAAGTTTAAGGCTTTCAAAAGGGAAGAGGTTCTCAATTTGACAATCTCAATGTATTCGTTTTAATTTTAATAAAAAATAATAATAATTAAAATGTTTTATTATTTTCAGATAACGCTCAACTAGCGGCACACGTAAGTGATTTTTTTGCATACAACCTATTATTTCATTTCTTTTAAACACATTTTCACAATTAGCGTATACTATGGGTTTTATATCTGCAAGCAACTTGATATACTAATTATTAGCCGTAGGGTCATTCCATCGTTTCGGGTGTTACGTTCGTACACACATATTCAACAATTTCATGTATTTTGAAATAGTATTTTAATAATATTAGTGCCTTAATCTGTCCGTTTTTAGTTGTTTTATCTAAATAATAAAGTTTGTACAGCTTAGAATGTAGGATAACGAAAATATGAGTCGAAAAGTGTGCGTTTCGGGCGTTACGAGATTTTGCCTCTATGTTCTGACTGTTGCTGCATTTACTCGAAATTTAGCGAATTTTCTTAAGGAATCATACCTAAAACTTACAGGACTTCTAAAGTATGAAATTTACAAACCATGTAACATACAATCACTGTTAAATAAAACGTTTTACTATTTTTTTATAAATTTTTTCTTTGTTTCGGGTGTTACAATGGTTCTGTTTCGGGTGTTACGAGTACGAAAATTCAACTCGTTTTATCGATAAAATCGGTGTTTTATTAGTTTCTAGGTACTTCAAAATAAGGAGTACAACAAATAAACACAAATAGAGCGAATTCTGGTTTGAAATTACGAAGCAGCTTTTTTTTTTAAATATACAAAGTTCAAATTTATTTTTTCCTCAGAATATAGCTTTTTCTATTGTTTTTGGCTTGAAATAGCATTACTTTAATTTATAATTACGATATTTATTGGAAATGTCAAACATCGACACTTTTTAGCAGTACCTTAATTTTAGTGTTAAGTCGACATTTCAAAAAAGTCTTAAATTGAGAAATATGACTCCTTTTCCGATGCCAGCGCTAGTGGGAGGTCAAAGGAGCCTCACAGTAATACTTTTTCACTTCTCCAAGCAATATACACACATTATCGACATAGAAATAAAAATGTAATACCCGAAACGTTTCGGGTGTTACAGTTTTAAATCAAGAAAGAAACATACTAAATTAGTATCATACTCAGATATTAGTTAGTATTTGAAATCATTACTACCATGACCTTACTTTTACCAAATATTGTTACTCTAATCCATGTGTAAGGTACAATAATAAAACAAATACCTGTTTTTCTGTTTCGGGTGTTACATCGCCGAAGTAACAAGAAAACACACTTAAAACTTGATGATTATAAATTTTTTTGGGACTATGACGCTATCTACCAATACTATGATAAATACCCTCGAATCATATAGTGGCAAAACGTTTCACAGATTGATAGTTTTTTTTAAATCGTATTACCAATAAATTAGAGAGAAAATGATCATTCAGACAGTTGACTTAAGTATAGACTTTGAAGACTAATAACTTAAAAATTACTTGTTTCTTTCAGTTTTTTTTTGTTGCACATTATAATTTGGAATGTTTACTTTCAAAATTCATCAGATTTAATGCGAAAAGAACATATTTAGTTTTTCACCCTCGGTAACATTTGTCATGGAATGACCCCGTACAGTTAATAATTAAGTTAGTAGTTACCTAGTTTGTCCCACCCTTGAGAATACATGATGAAGTCGAGTTGAGTAATTGACACTTGCGGAGTCCCGTGGACTCCACCATACACTTTGTGTAGCAAAAATTTATATTATGATATTTTTAATTATGGTTTATTTACGGTTTGAGTGGATCAAAAAAACATCAAACAGTCACAATACATGATTTATCAATACGTTAGATGGAAATGAGGCCTCAGATATGAGGGACTGGCAAGAAAGTCTAGAAGAAAATGCAGACGATGAAGAAAAAGAAAAGGACTTTAGGTACATCTTACGTCCCGAAAGATTTGTTTTGATGATTTTGTATTTTGACGATGTGTTTTGATGAATTAAAAGAAAGACTGCTTATTTTGAAATTCATTTCACAAAAATATGCTTGTATTGTTCGAAAAAGTTGGGCAGGCAATGTGCTGCTCGTAGTAGTTACTAAGCCATTGCACGTTTTTTCGTGTTAATTTTTTTCTAACATTTTACATATTATTTATCAAGAAGATTGTTATGTCGACATAATTTAGAGAGAAAAAAAAATTTGGTTAATATTTTTTCTATGTTTATGAGGTACAAAATGCCTATGTCGATTTTCGTGTGATTTTTACGACTTAATGAAAATTTTATTTTTTAAATGAATTTTATTTAATGTTTCCATTTCTGTTATTTCTAATTAATAGTATGTTAACCATATTATGTTACCAAATAAAAAATATATTACTTTTATAAGTATTAGTATATTTTTTCTTCATTTGAAATATGGAGTCCCTGGGTCTCCACCTTACACTTAACGTAAGTTTTAGTCACCATGCAAACTGAGGGTTAAAAATATTTTAGGTGGGCACCTAAATTGGCACGTTGTTTGTATATCGGATTTGACAAGAAGACCCTTTTAAAATAACGTCAAGAGATCTTTAAGTCTACTGATAATTAAAACCTTAAAATATATTACTTTAAATAATAAATAACTAGTGACAATTTCATTAATGAAGAGGCATTTAATATTATTTAGAAGAACAAATTGAGTTAACTCAAACTGCCAACTATTTTAGTGTTTTTAATTGGTGTGGGAATCGTTGTCCTTTTTTCTGGCAGTTATAAATATAAAATTTATCACAACCTCACTGCAACATAAATAAAATAATAAAAGATCCCACGGTAGAACATTGAGACTCAATGTAATATCTAATCAAAAACCAAGCACCAAATTTTTGAACGTCTAAGAATGACCGACCTAAAAATAAAAGCAAATGATACTGAATACGGTCTAAGAAGGACTCTTTGATTGACCGCAGAAATATTATACTTACTCATTAAGTAACAGCCAATGTCAAATTAATTAGCTACTGATGGTGGATTACTCATGTGTGATTAATATTAAAATGATGTTTATAATAATGTTAACTTCAGAAAGGCTTTCAATTACAACTTAACTTATCATTTCAAGTGAACCTAATAAAAAGTTATAATTACTTACTAAATCTCTACAATATGTAGGAATTCTTTTATCTACTTGAGGTCTTTGAGTTAATTTTAGGAAATTAGTAAGTAAATTATCACATCACTTACAGGTTTTTACGCCGACATAAACAAAAACACTCACACGTACACAAGCCCGCAAATTACGAGGCAGAAAACAGAAGCACAATATTATAATGTCGACAAATATTAACCTATTTGTAAAACGGTGACATGCCACAGAGCCCGCCGCTAAACTAATTTAATTACGGCTAATTCGATTACTGCATAAGCCCCTGCTGCCCTCACTACACGAGCTAAGCACACGAACAAAAAACGCGCGCGCCATTTTCAAAAACTTTTCTCTGAAACTTGTCTAAGGCCGAAAAAAAAAGAAAAAGAGCGCGCGCAAACTTTTTCGTCGATCGGACGGGAGCACTTTGGCCTTACTTTTTTAATAATGTGGATTCCTGGGCCAATGGAAAAGCAGCCGCCTGTCTTGAGTGCCAGTTCCACTGTAATAGAGACCTAGTACGGCCTCGCTGCTCGTCTACGCTCCAATTGAGTAAGAATGTATCATGCAACGGTGATAATGATAATTAATGGCCGCTAAAATTTACAAAAAATACCTTTTGGTCGTTTTGCGTGAGTTTAGAATGGCATTTAGAAATCTTCGCGATTCGTTTGCATATCGATTGTAATCGTAAACTTACTTCCAACGAATACATTAATTACCGTTAACATGCATTGCCTATCATCATAATTTTGATATTGTAATTTTATATCGAAATGCGTTACTTATTATTTTATGCTAAGTATTAATTATTATCTTTAGCACTGACTTAATAATGCATCTCTACCCAAAACAAACAAACGATAATTTCCATAAATGTATTTAATACCGTTAAGATTAATTTTGTACTAGTGGTACATACAAAATATTTCAGTGTCGACGAAGATAATAATCCTTTATTAATTTGATAGTATTTAATAAGGGCCTCTAAATCGACAAATTTTATCGATATAAAGCCCCCCATGGCTTAGTATATTATTATGGTTGATTTTTTACAACTCCAAATTATAGTTTCTGATGTTCAATTCGAATTGAACTCAAGTCAAGTTCTTGAGTTATTGTTGTTGTGACATAGGTAGAACGTTCTTGAGGAAAAGATTTTGACAGAAAGACCGACCAAACGCCCCTATAAGGGTCGCTTCACCCTTTCGAGATACGGAAAGCAAAATAGTAAAAACAAAAGTGTCAAGTACACCGTTCTGTGCTCAGAGCGACGACATAAGGGCGTGTGCACACTGTGCAGTCGCGCACACTCGCCCGCGGATGCATATTGACCGTTTAATGTTATGAGTTAGGTGAGCGTGCGCATCTTCACTGTACCACGATTTTTTTCTCAAACCGTGTTCAAAGAAAACTCGTCATAATCATCAGGTCAAAGTAGACCTTCTCTAATTTAGTTCGTTCGTTCGTTCATTTCAGCCGAAAGACGTCCACAGCTGGACAAAGGCCTCCCCCAAGAATTTCCACAAAGACCGGTCCTGCGGAGCTCGCATCCAGGGAGGTGCCCGCGACCTTCACCAGATCTCTAATTTACCAGAGGCAAATACGAGGATTTTTTTCACACTCCACACGCTTGGCATACGGTTTGGGGTGGTCTGAGTTTCATATTTTTTCCCTAAGTCGCCTCTTACAATATCCACGAGAAGAATGAGAGTGTTAGGTCCGATCCTATTCCACACAGTTAAAAGACCAAACTGCTTTTAGATTGGGTTACACCATCTTACTTTAGCTTTAAAAAATGTGTGTCAACAACAAACTCAGCCTTAATTATATAAAATCTTTACATCTGGTGAGATGCAGACCAAAGGACTTCCTCGGTGTGGTGAAAAATAATCTACAGGCGATAATAGTCCATCAAACTCGTTTTTAGGTTTGTTTCATAACACGCAAGTAGTATCTTTTTTTTTCAAGCGCAAGCTTAAACCCTAGAATTCTTTATTCCATTTCATTGTCTAACTAGGAAACAATTGGTAGGTAATAAATCTTTTAAAAGAAAAAACACTACAATGGAAACACGCACCATGCACAACGGCACGGCACAGAATTGAGTATGTAGTTCACAGGTGCAAAACGATGTTTTCATACTTATGCATGACACAGTTATAGCTATCGGCTACTATCAGGCGCACGGGTGTTTGGTCCAAGTTGTGGAACTTCTTTTTTTATTGCATTTAAATTTTTTGTCATTGCGAAATTGACATATTTTCTGTAATAAAATTTTCATTCTTTTTTCGTCGTTTTATATTAATCAAATTCAAATAGTTTATTCAGTATATAGGCTCTGTCCAGGGCACTTATACACGTCCCAAATATAGCTTGCCCTACCACCACTTCGGGACAACATCGGGCTTAAAGAACTATGATATGAATAATACACTCGGCATCAAATTATTTCACTTTTTAATGTCAATGTGTATCATTATTTTAGTACCAAATAAATATTTTTTCTTTCTTTCTTTCTTTCTTTCTTTCTTTCTTTCTTTCAAATAAATCGCACCTCCCGCGACAAGCACTTATCAAACGTATGCATCCCCACTTCCCACCAACATTGGTACCATTTGAAAGCCTAGTTCTAAACTTCATTTCATTAAAGGAAAGGTTTTTACCCCAAAAATGTGTCTTTACAAGGATCCAGAGTCACTTCTTCAAAAAATAGGTAGTTACGCTATAGCCATTTTTTATGACTATAAAACTGTTAAGTTGGGATTAATCGCTATCCATCTGTTAAAGAGGACACGTGAGATCTTTATTTGGTTTTATAACCATAAAAATTGGTCTAATTGATCCCAGAGGTGAGCCCAAAGTGAGGTCTATTTTCAAGTCACATTTATGGTATATGTTAATCATTTATTTAGAAATGAAATGTATTTTTCTTTAAGGATATTTATTGGGCTTTTAAATAACACCAATATTGTCGGGGTACCATGATTGTGTCAGAAGAAAATCTTTAAAGTTCGCGTCGCGGAAGGTGCGGTTTATTTGACGTTGAGTGTATGTGTTATTACTACGGAATTGTTTGAAGTAAAACAATGTTTTTTTAGATTATTACTACTGTAAGTAAACTCTCCTTAAGTGGCCTTCATTTTACAACACTTTCTCGTAAAATGTGAAAGAACAAATTTTATTCAAGCGTTGATTTTTATTACACTGACTCCAATAAATAACAATTGTATCCACAAAAAATAATACGATTGAAATAAATGTCTTCACAGTCTAAAAAACAAGTAGGTTCATCAAAAACAAATGAAAAACATTAACCAACAATCACGAATGATGTTTTAAGTCAATTAACGTAAGAATGTGAGGAAAAAAATACATATTTATGACAACTTGGCTCTTCTTTTACACGATTAATCAGAATGTACCTGATGGTACATTATTTAAATTCATTCTGTCCTTAAACAGCATTTGCTTGGCCACGTTAATGTGTGATCTATTTCGTGTGGCCACGGTTTAATTTCGATTGGGAGGACACAACAATAAACCGCCATAGGCTTGTATGGAAAATCAGTTCTCATTGTTCGAGTTTTGGAGGATGCATTTAGTTATTGTGATAGAAAACAATCGCTTGTGGACTGCACGTCATGGCTATACGGGTGATAGTTTAAATGAGCTTAGTACCCGGAGCACGAAATATCGTTCTTGTATTGTATGGTTTATTTTGTCTGATAATAAATTAAAAAAAAAAACCGACTTCAAATGCGTGAACACAAATAATACCTAACCTATTCAACAAAAAAATAATCGTTCAAATTGGTTCATAATCGGCGGAGATATTGCGTATAAAAAAGTTCATCCCCAATTTTCCACCCTTGGGGGTGAAATATTTTCTTCAAATTCGCATGAAACCACCCTTTTGATAATACCTATTCAACAAAAAAATTATCGTTCAAATTGGTTTATAATCGGCGGAGATATTGCGTATAAAAAGTTCATCCCCAATTTTCCACCCTTGGGGGTTGTTTTTTTTATTATTAAATTTAAATGGGACCACCCTTGAGGTATTACCTATACGCCGAAAAAAGATTTGTTCAAATCGGTTCATAATTGGCGGAGTTATCGCGTAACAAACATAGAAAAAAAAAACATACGGGTCGAATTGAGAACCTCCTCCTTTTTTTGAAGTCGGTTGAAAAACAACAGCGTCGCTACGGTTGTGTAAACCTAGGCGCAGCCCACCGACTTTCAGTTGGCCGATAGCAGTTGGGTTGGGCAGTTAATCAGTATGGAGAAGAATGAAAGTGTGATTAGAATCGGGTCCTACTACTTATCGGCCAACTACAAGTCGGTGATCTGCGCCTAGGCCAGTCTTTCCCAAAGTGGGCGATAACGCCCCCTTGTGGGCGCTGCAGGCTTAAAGGGGGGCGGTAAGAGACCCAAAAATCGGGACGTTGTGTAGAGGCTTGGGAGGCGTCATCTACTAGGAGGACTCTTAGACATCGACTGAGCTCGACTCTTGACTACAAAAATGGGGGGCGCTAAAAATAATTTATTCTCAAAGTGGGCAGTAGACTAAATAAGTTTGGGAACCACTGCTAGGCTAAGGAATACGATTACGGTAGTTAATTGTGCTCAGGGTACGGTTTATAAGTATGGACGACATGGTACCTGAATACTGTGGTACTTTATGTGATTGTGTTTGGTGTGATTTTGCAACGGAAATGTGTAGTCAGATGTGCCTTCGACTCTACATATTTTGCATGGAATTTATTTGTTTATTTATATATTTTTTCAATTTTATTCGTTAATTTCGCTGTTGCTTTGTAGTTTGACAAGACTACATAAAGATTTTAATTTTCCAATTTCTTGCAACTTTTTAAAATACAAAACTGGGTAATACTGGGTATTAAAATTACAACCTAATTAATTTTAAAGTACCAGTCTGTCTGTTTCAGATTTTCTTCTTCAGTTTATCAAACGAACATCTTCAAAATTAACGAAATAACTTCTCACATTAAACTTTACTCAGAAATTCGCAATTTAATTAACATTTCTTTGGATACCGTCAAATAAATGTTCATACATCGCTACACAACGGGCACGTCACCTCTGACGTCATTGTCCTGCTGTCGACTGTGACAAGGGTCCAACACAATGCGGCGTGCTCGTCACATGGAACCGTGTCTCAGTTATCGATTTGTATCAGTTTTGTACTACAAAGGGCTACAG